CACAGGAGGGAGCCGTTGCGCACACCTCGTAATGTCCTCATTTGAACACGTCTGCGACGTCTTTGGTAAATTTCCATTACAGTTTGGGAGGATTGTAAAACATTTATTGCATGTGTGTGGGGGGGGGGGGCAGCAGGTCTTCCTTGCAATCGATTGGTTCACGGTTCCAATCTAGCCTCGGAACTTCCTGGGTGGAGTTAGCATCGTAGCGTAGCATACTTGCTGCACTCAACACAAAATGTCCAAATGCGACAATGCTTGTTTGTCTAGAGGTGACCAGTCCAACGTTTGTCTATTATGTACCCTGACAGTGACGGGCAACCTCTCCCCATTCTCATGTGGAATGTCAGCCCGGGTCCATCGTTTGTCCATACGCTTTGTCCATACGCTTTGTGACATCCAGTGGTGACCAATTTGATTGGCGTCTCTGTTACTCTGGCGTTGACTGGCGACCAGTCCATTGTTTGTCTTGATTGTCCCAACGTTGACTGGCAATCAATCGTTATTGGGTCTATACAGTATATGCCTGACTGATTGGTGACCAATCTTTTTATCTGTGTTTGTGTGCTAACATGGACTGGCGGCCAGTCCTTCATTTCCTCTTCATTATGTGATGGACAGTGCCTGGTGAGCAATCCAGCATTTGCCAATAGGTGCCCAGACATGGATTGGCAACCAATCCACGTTTTAAATCTGCACATTCTCTGACATTCAACCTGGAAATGCTTCAGTCGAATGTTGAAGGAATTCATGATGTTGGTGAGTTTGGGGCTAAATTGCACTGAGGTTTCATTTTGGCGGCTAATCTTCATCCGTCTCACTGGCCACTTGGAAGATTGAAAGAAATCTCAGATTATTTGAAGTGCCATATGTCTGCGTGCATCCCTCTGTTCTTTTTGCTGGCTCGGCACCCAGCAGGACAATTGCACATTCGCACAACACCAACACATGCTTGTCACAAGGTTACATCAGGGTTGTCACATGGTGATGACATACTTGTCACATGTTATAAGATGCTTATTACATGTTATGACGTGATTATAGTTAAATCTTTGACATGGTTGTCTTGTGGTTTGTCATATTGCTAAAACATTTTGTCACGTGGTTACATGATTGTCACATGCTTAGAACATGCGTGTTACATGTCATAACTTGGTTATAACAGGGTTGTTAAATGTTTGTCCTGTTGTTTGTCAAAAGGGTTTAACATGCTTATCACATGCTCAAAAAGTTTTATCACATGGTCACGACACGCTTGTCAGATGGTTCTTGCATTCTTGTTCCATGTATAACTTGTGCATACGTGTAAAATGTTTGTCACATGGTTGTCCTGTGATTTATCATAGAGGTTTACCATGCTTATCACATGATTAAAACAGTTTGCATATCACATGGTTACAGTGTGGTTGTCCCACGGCTCGATTGCCGTGGAGTCCCTAATTGGCCCTACCATCTGCAGCTGCGTGAGCTCCTCCGCCACCCCGCAGAGCCGCAGAGGGATAATCCCCTCCGCCCCGCAGGGGGTGCAGACGGGGGGTCCGACGTCGCTCTCTGATAAGCGACTGGTCGCCGGGGGAAACCAACTTTTTCTCCTTGCATTCTGGTTCTAATGCACAGCCTGATGATAGTGGCTCATGCATCTCATTAACTTAAGGGAATTTTCTTCATGTGCAAGTTTATTTTTTGGCGGGGGGGGGGGCAATCAGATTTCATCTTCTATGTGTTGCCATGTCAATGTAATCTGCACAGGGCCTTCAGAATCCAGGCTGCTGGACCATGGCACAGTCACACTATTAGCAATGACTGAGTCACAAAACATGGGTCTCAAATTCACTCTGGGCCGTTTGTGGAACAGACAATGAGATTTCCCAGCACCCCACTTGACCTCAGAATTGAGTGTCAGTGTAGCCCGCACCTTTTCTGTCTTGTCGTTGCCATGGCCGTTTTGTGTGTGTGTTTATTAATCACTCTTGGGCTAGCACCTCAGACTCATGATAGCTTTCAGCGAAACTTAATTCTGAAGTGACACCAAGTGCACGGAAAAGATTTGTCATGTGTTTTTCAAAATTCGAAGTGTAGAGCAAACCATGACGATATCACTCAGCCATGTGAACTTTCCACGCTCGCCCTGCATCAATCTTGTTGAAAGCAGACAAACAACCACATCAAACAAATTCAAGGTCGAAAGACTGTGTGCTTCCCAGGCCCAAAAAAGTCTGCCGCTGATCGGGCTGGCGCTACCTTTAAGGATCAAGGAGCTCCTCACCTGGAGAGGGAGCACACCAAACAGAAATTGCTTTTATCATAAATGAGAAGAAGTTCGTGTCATAAAAGGATAACAGAAATTAGTTCCTACTTAAGCTGCCGAACGGGTCACATGAAGGGAAAAGGAGAAGGGTCACTGTTCGCAAAACCACAACGAGACGTCGTTATTGGATGAGAAAAAAAGAACGGCTTTTCGGAACAAGATCAGAATAATCAGGTTGAGAAAGCCCGACAGGGCGGACAGACTGCAGACTACAATAAAGACCACAAAGAGGATTTGCTTCCAATCCACTTAAGGAGAATCTTTCTTCCTTTAGCAGCTTTTTATTGTTCCCATGGACACAGGACCCGCCACATAACTCGTGATGTTGAAATGATTTGCGCTGACGTGACTTCGAGCGCCCTCAAGAGCCGGAACATTCCGATAGCATTCCCAGAAGATATCCACTCCCGCTGAACATTCTTGTTATGAGAACATTGCACCTGAAAACTCCTGCTGGCAGAGGGTCAGTGAACCACTGAAGCCTGCCAGAGGTTCACAGGTGTAACCGTGACAACCAAGGCCAAACATGTGTTCGTGATGGGAAGTATTGTCCTTTCAGATGTGGAAGCGGGATTAGATATCATAAAACATGGAAAATTACACCTTGTGAATTGAAAATAGAGTCGCTGATGGTGTCGTGCACTCGCCTGACTTGTGAGCGGACAGCGTGGGATAGGTGCTCACTCAGTGACGGTGTGAATGGTTGTTTGTCTCTATATGTGCCCTGCGACTGACTGACTGCCGACCAGGTCAGAGTGTAGTCCGTCTTTCCCCCGAAGTTAGCTAGGATAGGCTCCAGCACCCCCTGCGACCCTGTTCAGGATGAGCAGTGTTGAAAAATTGATGGATGGATGGAATTCAAACAAAGCGAACTACTGCACGTAGTTTTAAGAACGGACATTCAAGTCGCCTGACTTCAGTCCGTGACCTTAGGACTCAAAATGCACTACAGTGACACTCTGTGGTCACGTTTGGAAACGACAAGTCAATAATGTTCAGTCAGAAATATTTAAATTGTCAAGCGCCTAAATGTTGAAATGTTTTTGTCACTTTCAGAATGCATGTACAGTATTGGAAATGTTTAAATATCTTGCGAGTGTTTTTATTTACGTTGGTTTTTTTTTCAACAGGTTGTGTTTGCCCTTGACGCTCAGATAACTTGTCAAACATTCTCCCAGCTGGGATGTGGCGAGAAAGCTCCAGCTGTGAGTGTTGCCACCTTGATCGTCATCATCACCATCTTCGTCGTCAACTCATATAGTTTTTTTGTAGATCGTTTGTTGGGTGATGATGCTGTTATCGAATTTAGGGTAGTTTGTTGTGCATGGGGATTTTTTTTTTTTTTTTAATGAAAACATGTCCCTGCTGATATGCGCTGCTTACGCTCATGACACTGCTGCAAACACAGAGGAGCTAGTTAACAGAAATTTATATTTTTAGGCTTTACATGATAAGGATTTTGGAGCCGATCAGAATGTTTAAAAATGTTTTGAAAGATTTGGATGGAAAACCCCTTGAGGGGCGACAGTTCACATCCCAGCTCCAACTGTCTGCTGTTCAAGTGTCCTCCGGCAAGACGCTGAAATCCAAGTTTCCTCAATGAGAAACTGTACTCGATTGGCTTAGTTGGTTTTTCAAAGAGAAGCCAATGACTTGAAAAACAACTGCAGAAAGTGAAGTGGACGTGCCAGTTCGTCATTCACACCCAAATATCAAAGAGACTGCGGGACGATTGGCTTGATTGCCTTCATTGACATGGCCGCCAGCCAATCACAAGACGCGTCTTTGTGGTTCGCCACGCCCCCTTGCCTGTCCACACGGCCTCTCAACTTGAACTGTCTCTTTGATTTCCCGCAGACCTCGAAGCCAACACCAAACCTACTCAGCATCCCTTTTGGAACGAGCAACACCGCGCCGGAGGAAAACGACGGACAACAAGAAGGTAAAATTGGCTTTCAAGGCGTGTATCGGACCCTTTTCGTTGTTGGCGCCACCGCGGGAATGATGATGGCGGCGGCGGCGGCGTCGTTTCCGGGTTGAACGCCTTTTGTGCACACGGCACCGAGCTGGCCGACTTGGTGCCGAGCGCACAAAGCAACGTGCTTGTGTTTATGTGCCACGGCCGCACTTTGACGTCAACGTGACCTGATTTTCATGCCTCCGACGGATTCGGTACATAATTTGACGGTCGCGCGGAGGCCCCGGCACCTCGGCCGGCTCGCCAGCCTCCCTTTCGGCCAGCCGGCTGTGACGTCCCGAAGCCTCCTCGGTGAAAGTTGACGCTGATCCGCCGCTAGCCCAATGCTAACGCAACCAGCTATATTTAGTGTTACACGTGCTAAAACCCGCAAACGTGGGTGTAAATATATCGTATATTGGAATACATTAGACCTTAAATGTCCTCTTCCCGAAAAGGAGGAGCCGCCACTCTTCGCCGCTCCCCGAGCATGACGGCATCAGACTCCATACAGAAATCTGCTCATATTACAAGGCAATACGTTTAATAATACATTTTAAATTGAAAGTGAGTTAATTGAGCGCTGTTATTCTGTTGGACAGTCACGGGTAATGCCCCGTTTTATTGTTCTTGTATTCGATGTGATGTATTAATCACTGTGATTATTTGTATACTGTTTGGACTCACAGACTTTCCGTACTTTGTTATACCGTCTACTGCGCATGCTTGAGAATGGACACGTAAAAGCGACTTTATAAAGGTAGTAAACAGTAAAGTGTAGTGAGGTCAAATGGATTACTTTTCTCAAAGACCGGACGATTTCAAAGCGTAGAATGAATCGTAGTCTGGGTATGTGGAGCGCATGGAGCCGTTGTTCGAAGCGCATAAAAGAAGAAAGTTGCTTATGGACGTCTACGAAATTTAGTGCAACGCGCCAAACTCGGATAGAGGATTTATTCGGAAATTGTGACCACGCTGAGGGAGGGAGTCCTATGACCCGAAGCCTTTGGTGACAGCTGAGCGTTCCAGGTACCGTAAGAGTGCACAGAAAAGCATCCAGACTTGGTGATTTCGGCGACCGGTTGTTCGAAGCTCCACGTGACGGTTTGTCAGCGGGGTCGCTTCTGAGGCTTGCCAACGCAAGTTACTCTCAGAAGATAGACTGAAGTTTGCAAGAGCTGTAACGCTTGCGCTCAATATGGAGACTGCCCACCGGGATGCGAAACAGTTGAGGAAAGGTGAATAATATGTCACCCCACCTGTACACGAGGCAAAGGAGAAGACGCTCACCTTCGCAAGAAAATGGATGCCACCGATGGAAAGGCACAAATCAATAATGCGAATAACTGCTACTAGAAGAATTTAAATGACACCGATGTGACAAAGTTGGTCATCATATTCAGAAAGCATGTCGGGCTGGGCCACCTGCACGTGACAATAAGGCCGGACGATAAACAGTGAGAGAAAATACGATAAAATGACTGGCTATTTGCGAACTAATGAAAAAGAATTATATGTTCCCGAGTTCCATGTGTATAGTGCTAATGTGGGCCGTTTTTGATGTGAACGGACGAAAGTTTCCAATGGGAATGGACACGGGCAAAAGTCAGCGATCGCTCTGAAAACGCGTACGAACGGTCATTCTTTCGTGTACCACTAGAGGGAAGTAGCGTAGCACGAAAGGGCTACTTAGGTGAGCCAATTCCCGTAAAAGGGCAGTTTATGGCTCAAGTAAAGTATGAAAAGCAGGCTTTGATGTTTTCAAAGATGAGTTAGGGACATTAAAGCACATCAAAGAGGCGTGCCAACACGACTGGGTTTCCTTCAGACGGCCATCTCTGAGATGGTGAAGAGGAGACAGTATCAGCAGAAGTAGAAACGTGACCGTCAGGGCTGACGAAAGACAGTTGAATTTGGATGACCCAGTCTATCTACGCAACACGGCAAGAGAGCCCCCAAATAAATCCTCAGGGTAGTGACACAACAGACTGAAACCGCTGCAGGCGCCATGGAGACCAACTGCACCCTGTTGGATATGTATCCGACTCCCGGTTCATAATAGAAAACATGAAATGCGTGTATGAGCTTTATTGATTACACCAAATGTAATCAGAAGGTATAATTTCATTTGTTTTTTTAATGCCGCAGCGATGTGGCAGGAGGCGAGCCGGGTCATCGTGGTCCTGACGGTCGTCCTGGCGACAGCGGCGGAGCTGTCGGACGGCGATGTCTCGGTCGTGCCTGAATGCGGTGGCAGCAGTGGCCGCATCCCATCGGCGGTGGTCGACGCACAGCTGGCCGAGCGGAATCAGAAGAGACACCTGAAGGCGCTCTTCGACAGGTGGGCACCTCCCACCTTGTGAATGGGGTCACACCTTTGTTGTTGTAAACATGCGAAAAGCAGCGCTCAAGAGTTGAACGTAATGACAAGCGAACAAACTTGCTGATGGTGGTGAAAGGAAGAAGCAAATAGGTTATTGGTGTCGGGTCGGTACACTAACACTGAACATGTATTCGAAAGTTTTTTTTTTGTTTTTTTTAAGTACTATTTCAAATTTTAAAAGCGTGACAAATTGCCACACAACATTTCTTGTGCATTAAAAAAAAAGCATCACATTTTTTGCCATTAAACTTTCAATTTTTGTATTTTTTTAATTAAGAAAGTAGTGTCATACTTTGCAACATGCATTTTTTAAAACAATTATAAAACAAATTTAGATGTATTTTATTTTTTCCCTAAACCTTGACTGAACAAGGAAATACCCCATTGAAATTATTAAGCTCTTTTTCCTGAAAGAACTGACCAAATGCCAGCAGCAAACACAAAATATTCAACACAGATTTTTTTTTTTTTTTTTTTACGTAAAAATAGAATGTATTCCCCCCCTCCCCCCATTTCTTTTTTTTCTTTTAGGTATGGTGAAAACGGGACCATCTCCCTGGCGGGCTTGAACCGGCTGCTGCAAAGCGTGGGCTTGGACCGCATCAGGAGCGTGGCGGCGCAGCACCACCACCACCACCACGATCATCATCATCATCATCACCACGACGACGAGGAATCACATGAGGTCCACTCCGAGACCCCCATCGAGAGGCAACGGCGAAGCGTGGACGACCACGCCGCGGCCGACGCCGCCAGCACGCTGCTCGGCGATGCCGGATTGGTCAGCGACGGTCTGATGAGCCTTGCGGGAAATCACACGCAGGATGAAAACCATCACCATGACGACCACGACCATGACCATGAGCATCTTGAGGTGCGTCGAACACAGGGCAGACGCGACAGTTTCATCTCATTTTATTTATTCATTTTAATTGTGTGTCATCAGTGTCAGAACGCGTCCAGCCTCTTATCATCGCACGGCATGAGGCAGGAGGGCGAGGTGAGCCCGAACGACTTGGTCTTACTTTGCCCGGCGCTCCTGCACCAGATTGACGCCGGCGCCTGCATCCTCCACCAAGGCGACGGTGAGCTTTTGGGCGTCGCTTGCTTTTGGGCGCGTCTTCAATTGAACAATCACCACTTGTACATGACCAACATTTACATGTCGAGAGACCCCGATTTCTACATAGGAGGTCAAGTATGAAAACAATCATGACATTGTGGAATGTTGCCAACACATAGTTGTTATTCGTGATCAAGTTACAGGGTGCATGAAAGGGGTTGAATATGAACTCGACGTAATTTGGACAGAAATTGCGTCATCCAGTCGTTTGAAATGTTTGTCTCCTCTTTAGACCATCACGACCACGATCACCATGACGACGACCACGGCGAGAGCAGCAAAAGCATCACAACAGGTGACTTGGGGACTCACTTGAAAGCCAACATTTTGAAATCTGGAGATTGATTTGCGGCTTCCCCCCACGGCAGCGTGGTTGGGCGGCTTCCTGTCCATCACGGTCATCAGCCTGCTGTCGCTTCTGGGCGTGGTGCTCATGCCGCTCATGAACAAAGTCTTCTTCAAGTTCCTGCTCAGCTTCCTGGTTGCGCTGGCCGTGGGCACACTCAGCGGCGACGCCTTTCTGCACCTCATCCCCCATGTGAGTGACTGGCTCCTTTTTTTTTTTCCCCTCCGTGTGTGTCAGGAATCATTTACTTGCATTCACTGCGTTCAGAATCTACCAGGATGTTGCAAAGATGATGTTGCGATGATTGTCATTGAACCTCCTTTGGGCGGGATTTTGAAAATGACAACAAAAAAAAGAAGAATGACAGAAGGGAATTACAATTGCTGGAGAAATGCTTTGACTTACATTATCTGTAGCATAATAAACAATTGACAACAATATTCTCGTGATCCCCCCCGAAAAAAAAGGGCACTTTATGGACACGCTGGAAATTGCAGCGTCGACTGGACCTATTTTTGTTATCGCGTGTGCACTCTAAACCGAGTGTCACCGGTTGCCAACATTTTTTGGCTTGTGTAACCCTGAACCTTTTTTGGATACCCCTTCACTCCTACTTACCGATGAGTCTCCAAAAGTAGAATGGAACACAACCGATTTAGAAGTGGAAATCATTTGATTGAGTTTCCTTAACCCTTTCGTGTAACCTGACAACATGAGAAGCTGTCCACTGTCGTAACCGCTTTCCCCTAAAGGGTTAATTTAAACATTTAATTCTTATGCATTGTAATTTTTTGTCATTTTCAAATGACGCATACACGTACGGCTGTAGCCTTGAAAATTAAAAAAGAATGAGAAAAATCATCCAAATAAAGAAAAAAATAGACTGGATCTTTTTTTTTTTTTCTCATTTGAAATATCACTTGAAAATCAAGTGCGAAAATGAAAGCAGTCACAGCATGTTGTGTAATTTCAGTGTGATAGGATTTTTATTCCCATATTGCCCAGGAATTATTCACTCATTCCGTACCGCCTAATCACTAAATGGCCATTTTTATGGAGTGGACTCCTTTTAACTCATTCAGTACCAGCCAATTCTGGACCAAGTCTGAAAAGACGCTTAAAAACGCCTTTGGGAGTGAATGAGTTAAGTGACCCTACAGCTGAAACGATCTCTCCAAGACAGATTGTTATCTAGTGAACCACATAGTTGACTCAAGGTCTGAAATGATTAATCGGATATTTCCGCCATACTCACGATACATTCCAAAATGGCCGCCTCGTTATGTATTGGATAAAGAGTGAATCCTAACACAGTTGTTGTTTCTGGTTTGCTTCCTGCGCAGTCTCAGGCCGGACACCAACATTCCGAGCATGACGCGCACGACGGGGAGGACCTGGACGGCATGTGGAAGGGTCTGACGGCTCTGGGCGGCGTCTACTTCATGTTTCTCATCGAGCACTTCTTGACGCTGGGAAAAATGTATAAGGAAAGGAAGAAGAAGGTGAGACAGGACGTCGGCGATCGTCACGGCTGCCCCTTTCACACGGCGCGCTCGGACAGAGCGAAGGCCTGTTTCTGTCTTCAGCGTGAAAGGGGCTGATATGAGCTTTGTTGTGTGCAGGAGAAGAAGAACAAGGCAAACCTGGAAAAGCCCCTGGCCCTGAAGGCAAGCGAGGGTGAGTTCATGAGATAAATCAAGTGAAAATGATTTGATGAAAGGGATCAATCGACCAGCTGGCAGGAAGCGGTTTTGAGCCTCTGCTTTTGTCCTCCGGCAGACGTGGAACACAACGGCGCCGGGTTGTTTGCCGAGCGCCCCAACGAGGATGGCGTGGCCGAGGAGGAGCAGGTCATGCTGAAGAAGTCGTCGACGGAGGTGGAGGTGGCTCGGGGCTACTCGGCGGAGGACTGCGAGAACAAATGCCACTCGCACTTCCACGACACGGTGGGCCAGGCGGACAGCCTGCACCATCACCACCACGACTACCACCACATCCTCCATCACCACCACTCCCAGAACCACCACCCGCACAGCCACACGCACTCGTACCCGCAGCACCACTTCCAGCAAGCCGGTGTGGCCACGCTGGCCTGGATGGTCATCATGGGCGACGGCCTGCACAACTTCAGTGACGGCCTGGCCATCGGTGAGTCACCACTCCCGTTTTCTTCCTCACAATCAGGGCGCTCGTGATGATCATATTGCAATTGATATCGTTGGCATTGATTAGCATTCAAAGCTAACATGGTGGGGTGCTAATTTCAGAATCTCATGTCGATCTTCCGGGGGATTGATTGATTGATTGTTTGATTGTCAGGCGCCGCTTTCAGCGAGGGTTTGTCCAGCGGCCTGAGCACATCTGTGGCCGTTTTCTGCCACGAGCTTCCTCACGAGTTAGGTAAGTGCCACCTGGTGGTGGGGGAGGGGGGTGCAAGTCCCAGCTGGGAAGCGTGAGTGCCACCTGGTGGGGGGGTCACGCAAGTACAATGCGGGGTGGTATGCGTGGACTGACACCTGTGGTGCTTTGCGTCAGGCGACTTTGCGGTGCTGCTGAAGGCGGGCATGACGGTGCGGCAGGCCGTCCTCTACAACATGCTGTCGGCCACAACGGCCTACCTGGGCATGGTGACGGGCATCCTGATCGGCCACTACGCCGACAACATCTGCATGTGGATCTTCGCCCTCACCGCCGGCCTCTTCATGTATGTGGCGCTCGTGGACATGGTGAGTGCATTGTCCCTCAAACGATTGACAGCTGTCACGTACATGTGACACTTCTCACCATCGGCTGGCCTCTTCACAGGCACTGTGTGCGTGCGTGTCACTAGCAGCCGCCGAGCTACGCAACAAGTGCACTTTTTTTTGTAAATTTAAAGTGTGTGCGCGTTTGCGTGTGTATGTCACGAGCAGCCGCCTGACCTTCAGAATATCTGCGTCATACCTTTGAGTATTTTAAAAAGCTCGTGTGCATGTGTGTCACTAGCAGCCGCTGACCTACGGAAACTCTGCTTATTGTTTTCAAAAGTGTGTGCGTGCGTGCGTGCCATTTCGTTTCTGAACACACCTCTGACTGTTTATCCATAAAGGCACGAACAACTTTAATTTCTGCTTGGATTCATTCCAAAATATGAATTCGTTCGTGTTTTCTAACACTTCCGTAAAAGGTCGTGCAAGTTAACAATAAGCAGAAAATGCACTTGGAAAAAAAAGAGGGTGTCAAAACAATCTGGAAATGGGCAATGGAGTTTTGGAGGCGTTTTGGCTCCCCCTGGTGGTCATGTGGTTTGTGGGCCCCCCCCTGTCCTTCAGATGCCGGAGATGTTGCACAACGACGGCGGCGAGGGCGGCTTCAGCCACTGCGGCTACTTCCTGCTACAGAACGCCGGCATCCTGCTGGGCTTCGGCATCATGCTCGTCATTGCTGTCCTCGAGCACCGCATCCAGCTGGACTTCCACTTCTAGCCGTCGGGCCATGCCTCCTTCCTTTCTCGTCGTCTTCTTTCTTCCGCCCGCCCCTTTTTTGCGTTGTAGTTCTTTGTGATGGGTTACTCTTTTAAAGCCTCTCACCAAAAGCCGACGGGCCAGATTTACGGCAGCTGATGACACTTTCGTCTTCACAACCTCCAAATGTGATTAGATCGTCCCGCTTCTGGCATATGATAGGTCAAAATGTTACACTTGAAATTGTATTTTTTTTTTTCTTTTCTAAACTTAAAAGCGTCACTCTTTTTTCTTATTTAACTTGTATATTTTCATGTTTTAAATTCCTTCGGGGTTTCTAACTCTTTCTTTTTTTTTTTGTAGTTGTGGTTTCCCTCAGGAGGCCATCTTAATTATGAAATTGATATCAGTGTTGAATCACCTCCTCATTATGTTACAAAATTGATCCGGTATTGAATTTTTTTGCCTTGAGCAACGACCCGACTTGAACGTTTTTTTGGGGGGGGGTGATACGAGCCACCATTTGGCTGACTTTTTTTTCCTTCTTGTTGTTTTTGCTTTTTATGCCACTCCCAGCTGAAGTTTACTCATACGCAACAGAAAACAAAGATAATTACATATTTCAAAGAACCACGGTTTAGCCTTACAGTCCTCTGGCTTCATAACAATAATTAGCATCTATGATGCAGCACTATAACCCTAAAGCAATGGAATGGACCCGAAAGAGGCAACGGTACTTGTATATTCTTTATCCTCTGCGTAGATGCGTTAGTGCCGCACCGATGAGCCGAGAGAGGACTGTAGGTCTGCACCAGCCCCTGTCCCCAGGTGACCAAAGAAGGCACACCGGAAAGAGCAGCGTTCACTTGATCCAATGTGACAAAAGCGGTGGAATTCTTTCGAATTCATTTCTGTCATTACTGTCTGTAACCTTCATCATTACGGCGAGCCATTTTTTTTTTCAGCACATGACAACATTCCACGGGTAACTCAAGGTTTTCACGACTGAATTTGAAATCTGAAGTCATAGAAAGTAAGGACAACTGAATACAAATCCTATTGTTTTAATGTTTTGAACAACTGAGGTGTTTAAACGGGAGTTGGTAGTAAAAAAAAATAATAAAAAATGTTTGTAGAAATGGAAGACAAATACCTGCCAAACGATGATAGACGTATCTCTGGGTCAAAAGTGTTTTTTTTTTTTTTTTTTTTGTGTCAAAGTTGTATGAGAGCCAAAAACAAGTATGAAGGAGGAATTATTGCTTGGAGATCACCTTGATCAAACGGTTTTGGAGCCACAAAATGTGCAGTAAATGTTGTAGTTTGACGTCATCAATTTGTTTGCAAAGCGGATGCAAACCGCTGACATTCCTTCTCACAAATAAATGTCGTCTCCATCTCAGCCTCGTCTTTAGTTTTCATGGACCACGTTTCACATCGCCGCAACTTTACTCATTTAACCGGAAACACCTTTCGCAACAACTTCAGACCGTCAAGCTTTGAGCTCCGGAAATGACTGTGCAAATTTTTTCTCGGTCCGGTTAATCAACATTACGATCATTCAAAACAAATGACAAAAAAAATTAAACAACGGCAAATAAAAAAAAAAAAACACAAAAAGTAAAATGCATGAGTCAACCAGAAGAGGTTGCTACAGTTTGTGGAGGAGATCACTCATCGCTGATTGGAGAGAAGCAAGGGCTGATAGACTGAATGTCGCTTTCGTCCAGTCATGTTGCAAAAAAAAAACATTTTTGATTGCAGAGTCATTAAGTCCTCATCGTATTTTAAGTCTTACTCAAGGTACCTCAGCTGAATGAGAGTACAGCTCCCTAGCGCCCTCTATTGAGCGCCCATGACTGAATGGGAGGAACTTGAATACATTTGTTGGCTCCAGATGAAATCCGTGAGTTTTGCTTGTGCTGCTTCTGGATGTCAAGCTTTGAACTTCGAAAGCTGGCGTGCGCAAAAGTTCTGCACAGGCATTCTTCCTCCTTTCGGACCATGTTAACTGAGCTGAAAAGCGGTGGGGGGTGGGGGTTCTGGTCCAGATTCCAGACCTTACATGACAAATGCAATTTTTCACTCAAAACACAACAGTCAAGTGTTTTTAAGAATTCCCCAAAGGTTTTGTTTGTTATGCTACTTCAGAACGTCAGGCTTTGAACGTTCTTCTTGGCCCACTTGCACAGCATCAGAATTCATCAGAAACACATGTTGGCGGAATCTTCCGGGCCTTCCCTGACCCGATCCCACAAGGACAAGAAGAAGTAGAAAGCCGTGAAGCTCCCAACATGTCCGCTCTCGCTCCCACGCTATCAACCGTGAGCGTTGTGGCCCGGTTGGAGGCGCTGGTCCTTGGACACCACCCGTACGTCGATGCACACCTCCTCTTTCAGTTCATCCGGCATGATGGGCGCCGCCCCTTCATGGAGCTGCGGGAGAAGCGGGATCAACATCACCGTCGTCATAGTGATCATCTTTGCCCTCATCATCATCTTGATCCTCCTCATTCTCATTTTATGACTATTATCATAATTCTCATCACTTCCTCCTCATCGATGACATCGTCATCCTCATCAACATGATGATCTTCATTTTCCTCATCCTCCTCCTCCTCCTCATCATCATTCTCATCGATGTCATCCTCATCAGAACATCAACATCCCCCCCAACTGACCAGCGAGTGCGGCAGCGGCTCCTTTTGAAAGTTGCGACAGGACCGGCGCGTGCGGCACTGCACGACGCACCAGACGGCGGAGAAGGCGACGCCCACCATGAGGAGCAGCGTCAGCACGGCCGTGGTGGGACTCTTCCAGGGGGCGTGGGGACCTTGAGGGGCGGGATTGAAATTCAGCAAAATCTGTCCGTCGCGTCCAACAACCATGTTAACCAATATGTCTAATGTTATACCTGAAACATGCACGCATTGCTCTTGGGTGTCTTGGCTGAGCAGTTGTTCTTTCATCAATACGCGCGCCCGCACGCAGTACAACGACCTGTCCTGCAGGTCAGCGACGTGCAGCAGTTTCTCCGCGGCCGGAACGGCAAACACCCGACCCTGTGAAACAGCTTTGCAGTGAACACGTCAAGTTCACTCGGGATGGCGTCGCATCACCGGTGATGCTAAGCTAACCTGGCCCGGGGCGTTGCCGTGCTTCCACACCTCCACCTCGATGGATGCCGTGAGCAGAGCCTGCTCAAAGGATACCAAGAGGGCGTCGCCCACCGCTGACACCGTCATCAGGGGGACCGTCAACAAGGCTGGACATGCGTTAAGTACGTTGACAAACACATGAATACAGGTGGCGCATCAATGAGCACATATTTTTTTTTAACAGTATACATATATATATATATACTGTATATGCTTCATGAAATGTTTTGTAAAAGATATGTTCATTAAATTTCAACATTTTCCGAGTGTTCTTGTGCATCTTTGGACCAAAACAAAGGAAAGACATATTATTTTGGTTATTTATAGCAGAGTATGGTATAATTTTTAATGGTCCGGCAGACTTGACATCTACCGAGGCCCTATGTGGCCCACGATGTGAAATGAGTTTGACAACCATGCTATACATGGTGTTTTTTTTCGGCTAAAAACGCCTTACTATACATGGTCA